TGCCTCCATTTCCAGGAAGTGTGCGGCGGAGGATGGCGGAGGGAGCTTGAGGTTGAGTTCGTGGTATCGCCGGGGTGCCGGATCAGGGTTGCGCTTCAGGAGGTACGTTCTTCCCGACTGCAATTTGTCGAAATTTAGGGTTTGAGTGGATGAAAATGAAGAATAGCTTGGAAAAGATGGTTTTTTTATTTCCAGAATAATATGGAAAATCAATAATTTATTATTTGAATACTTTTCCTTAACAAAAAGATCATGGAGAGCCCTAGAAAGAAAGAACAATTATTCTACAAAGGGAAAGCCGAACAAAGAAGAAAGGAGAATCTGGTGTTGCTCAGAGAATTGAAAAGAGATATAGATATGTTACAGACATCGGGGGCTTAGTCTGCAACGTTGGTGGATGATATAGATATGTTACACACTTTATGAATTCAAATTTAAACGAGTACCCATAGGGAATAGAAAAGAAGATGATGTATGAGCTTAAACAACATACTGATAGATCGAGCCGCCTTTCCCAACCGGCTGGAACTTTGAGCTCGAGATCCACCACAGTGGATCCAAGCACTGCTCCGTTGCCGCCGAGCAAGTCTCTAGTAACGAGCTCCCTCCTCCGGTCCCCTTCCTCGTAACCTCTCAACATTCGTGCTTCTGAGCTCACATCCACAACCATCATCCTCTCCCGGATCACCTATGAAAAATATCAGAAGAGAAAAGAAAAGAGATAGGGAATTAATGTGCCAAAGGGGTTTGAAGAGCCATACGAAACAGATCTCACCTTTATATATTTATACACCTCTTTGAAATGCTACAGTATGGGAAGTCCTAATGGCATCAATAAATGCAATGCTGAGCGAAAAAAATTAGATAAGCCATACAGATACTCTTATTCAATAGCTGACTATTACATGGTAGATTTTACCATTAGTTGATGAATCTTAGTAAGGGGGAAGAAGAGAAGTTTAATGAATCTAATGTGTTATAATGCCTTCCAAATATGTCAACCTCAGGTAACACAAGTCTTTTTATGTGCAAATCTTGTACATGCAGTGGTTTCACATTTTCTAGCGGGCAACTTTGGTATGATTTCATTGATTGCACTATCTATTGAATTGCAATGAATCTGTTGTATGCAATTGGGTGCATGAAGGATGCCATTGGAGTTCCATATTAGTGACAATATTTTATGACAGGAGTTTACAGAAAAGATTACTAGTATGTTAGTGACAATATTTTATGACTGTAATAGTGGAATGAGCATGATTACTACTATTGTCATTGAACGGTTGTCATCATCACAAAACATGACATGGATTGATGTTTGTTATCATCAGGATCAGGAGCATGTTGGTAGATAGGTCATAAAGGTGGCAAAAGTTTAGGTTTAGCGGTTGGATCTATTGGGGGCTAGAGCATGTAGATTGGAGGTGGTGATCAACATCGGATGAGCAGGAACTTTTGAATCTTGAGGTTTTCCTTGAATAAGATGAGAGAGTTGAGAAGTAATTTGCACAAATCGGTATTATATTGTTCACTATGTGGCAGTAATTGCTTTTTAAAGAATGCATGACATGCATTTAAAAGAAATCAGTTGGATCCCAGTGGGGAAAGAAATATTCCTGCTATCACAAAGAGTAGTTGTCACTAAAGATAACTGATACATACAAACAAACAAGCTAGAAAGTGTGCCAATATCTCCTGAAAAACTAATGAGTCTCCAGCAATTCGTCAGATTAGGATATGATCTATTTGGATCAGCATATAAACTAGGTAGGTCTCCAAGTAATTTAACTAATTTGACTACATGGATCTAATTGTATGAGAAGCTTGTTGCCATTATGTATGATTCTTGATCCGTTTTAATACCTATGAACTCATTGTGTAGTGTTTTTGTGGATCTTAATTCGATGAAATCGAATAATCTGAATATGTAACTTTTCCAATAATGTGAATATGCAACTTCTTAAATTGCAATAACTGCGCAGATGGTTAAAAAGGAAATATGAAACTTTTTGAATGTCTGCATCTATTTTAAATATGGTTGTTTCATGATGTTCAAACTTTTGCTATTAAGGAAAGCAAATGTTGCATTCACCATAATGCAAAGGTTTCTGACAAATTATTGCTCATCAGTCAGCTGTCTTTGTGAGTGCAGTCATCTTCATTCTTCTGTAATGATTTAGCTGTTTAAATGTTCCATGTTCAGGTTCGTTCAATCACACTATCACTGATGTTGTGAAGATCCAAGAAATGGCACAAAGATATGACTAGGTTAATCTGTGTATGTCAATTTAAGTATATTTTTTTTGACATATCTGTATGAATTTGATATGACATCCTTGGCCTTTATGATAGCACAATGATTGGGAAAAAAAAATCATAATAGAAAAATGATTTACATAAAAACTTTGGTCTTACGATCATCTTTGTTGTATGTATGTCTGACCGAAAAGTATCTAGTAAACAAATCGATTGCA